CTTTATACACCTTTTTATCGATTTGAGAAGCTAGTATATGAATAAAAGTTGAAAGCCTGTAAAATTAAAGTGAAAGTAAAACTGAGGCAGGCTATTGATGAGATTTCAAGTCAAAGGAAAGTCTGAGCACAAACTGAGTACCTAATCCTAGTGAAGCTTATCCCAGTTTCCTCAACACAAAGCCACTTGGAGTACTATAACCTTAAGTGAAGGGATTCACTCTGAGAGTAAATACAGATTATTCCATGGAAAATGTGCACAACTGATTTTTTCAAGTTTTTGTAATAAGTTGTGATGCATTAAAAAAAAAAGGAACCTGTGAGCACAGCGAACGTGTGAGGTTTTTCATGCATCACAATGAGTGAATAAAAATTGTTCAAGCACTTTCCATGGTATGATTTTTTCATTACTTAAATATTGAGATTATGTACTTAATGACTGAGTGGAAGGGTTGGGTGGGGAAAATATTTGGCTCAAGGTCATGACATACAGACTAAGTGCAGAGAGGTCTGTGCCTTGTGATCAAGAGACAAATATATTCCCTTTTGACCTGACCATACTCAGTCAATAAGTATTTTATCATATAACCACTAAGTGTTGAAAATTTCAACCTGAATTGGATGTGATAGATGGGCACATGTAGCCACACAAGCACAAAAAAATTCTGCAATTATAAGGTTTCCTTTATTTTTTCAAGTCAGAACCAGAAACTCTCAGTTCCTTTTTTTTCTCGTTTCTGTTTCCATAAAAGTTTTTGCAACAAAGCAACATGATGGCAGCAGGGCCGGTCAGCTTTTTCCAGACTGGCTCATGTCATGTTTGGCCCTGCACAGGTCAGCTTTCACAATAGTTGTTTTATGGGATTGTGTGAGCAGGTCTGCACAGGTCACATGATAATTTTCTCACTGACTGACACATATTAAAGTGTGGAAGGAACAACTGTGAAAATACATCCAATCAGAGACACAAACAATAGTACTTCACAGTGTAAATCTAAGTATAATAATATGAAATTAAGAGTCTTTCTCATCAACAAAATGGTATGAGTTGGTTATAGCTTGAAAATAGACATCCTTGTTTAGTGTCCAGTGCAACAATTAAAACACATTAGAAAAAAAGGAAAAGTCACTGCATAACCTGTTTTTTTTTTTTTTTTACAGACCTCTCACTGTTGACTGTGTAGACTACCAGAGAGGGAATTTTAAAAGAACATGTGTTCTTGAAAGATTGATTTTACAGGTACATCTTTTTGTGCAGTTTTCCTAGAATCTGATATTATGTGTGTTTTCAGATTGGATGCATCCAGTTTACAAAAATCAGTGGACTTCCATGCTAGCAATGTCCCAAAGTAGGGACCCAGGACCTTTAGCTGATGAATTTGGTTGTGGTGCTCTTAGGTGTGGTCGAATATTGGAAAGGAGTTCATCGGTATGTCATCAACTTTTTACTGGTCCCTTTTTTAGTGGATATAAGATTTATTTCAAATCAAGAGGATGATTTTTTTCATTTGCCAAGAAACCTCTTTCATACCAAGAGTAAAGCCAGCCATAAGGGGGACCTGGAGTTGAATTTTTTTCAGAGCCTCACCTCTGCATTTCAACATTGTTATCAGTTTGAATGTAATAAGTATGCTGTCAAACTTTCACATGTGTGTTCACTCTGAACATATCTAACATTCTTCACAACCTTAAGTGAAGAATGTTAATTGAAATTAAAAAAAAAAGGAAAAAGGAATAAAGAAAAAGACAAAAAATAATTTGGTGTGGCCAGGGCTCAAACCTTTATCCTTCAGACTCCAGAGGAATAGGTATATCCACAGCACCAGGTATATAGAATGTACAAAGTGGTAAAGTTTTGTATTGAAATAAATTTGATCAACATATAATACAAGTACCTATTCTATTTTAATGTCCAGCCCTGACCCTGGCCTGTCAATTGACCAGAAACAAACCTTACTCTTACCAAGTCTTCCTTCTGTCATAAGTTTGACATCTACAAGAGCTGTTCATTAACCCCTCTGCATCTTACAGCATGGTCGAGTGGTCAGCGTGTCGGACTTGCAATCCGTCGCTCCCAGGTTCGAGTCCTGCCCTGGCCACTACTTGGATTTGTTTCACGGTAGCCCCGAGTTTCAAATCCTCGGCCATGCTTGTAATATAGCCAACTGGTTTGCCTTCGGCCAGTTGGGATTCTTAACAACGTTATTTTCAATTTGAATTATTTGTTTAAGTTGTTTCGTGGAAAACCTGTAAACTAGCTTCTAGCTAAGTGTTTCTCCACGTTACACTGTTTATTATTATAAAACTGTTTATTAAAATCCGCCATTTTGGAAACGGGGCAAACAGAGCGAGAAGTGTTTGTACGCAATGTCAAAAAACGTCTGTAATATAAAAATCTGGACAAGACTTCCGTATTATATCCCCATACTTGATTATGCATTCAATTCTTGGATAAAGGAAAGCAGAGGAAAAACAACGTATTTCCTTTGGGACTACAGCTTTGTTTTTGATTGGTAGGGGGTTATACGAAAATCTTTCCAAAATCTGCACAAACGTTGAATGGTGAGGGTAATATGGAGGGCTGACACGCTGACCACTCGACCATGCTGCCCTCCTTTTACCGCGAAAAGATCTATTGCAGCATGGAAAAGCAAACACTGTACTGTCCTTTGTTATTTAGTGGCCTCTGTATTGACATCAATGAAAACAAACGGAAATTTCGGCTCATCCTCGGTGTAAAAACCTGATGAGGTTTTCTTTGTGTCATGAGGAATTGTTTTGCTGTACGCTTTTGTTTTTAATGTTTTGTTGTCTTTGTTTTACGTCACTCGTGAGCTTTACAGGTTTTTACACCGAGGATGAGCCGAAATTTCCGTTTGTTTTCATTGATGTCAATACAGAGGCCACTAAATAACAAAGGACAGTACAGTGTTTGCTTTTCCATGCTGCAATAGATCTTTTCGCGGTAAAAGGAGGGCAGCATGGTCGAGTGGTCAGCGTGTCAGACTTGCAATCTGTCGCTCCTGGGTTCAAGTCCCGCCTTGGCGACTACTTGGATTAGCCCCGAATTTCAAATCCTCGGCCATGCTTGAAATATAGCTAACTGGTTTGCCTTCGGCCAGTTGGGATTCTTAACAACGTTATTTTCAATTTGAATTATTTGTTTAAGTTGTTTCGTGGAAAACCTGTAAACTAGCTTCTAGCTAAGTGTTTCTCCACGTTAAACTGTTTATTATTATTATTATATTATTATTATTATTATTATTATTGCTTTTTTACTGCAGCACTCTACAACTATACAACAATAGGCACATGCAGCCATAGATTGCCTTTTTTTGTTACAGGAAGGGAAGTTTCAAAAACATGATCTCTGCTATTGCTACATTAAGAACCAGAAGTTCAGTTACATTTTCCTTTCATTTGGTAGTATTGCTGGCGCTGGACAGGATTCTCATATGGCATTGACATTATCATGACTTACAGCCCCAAGACCAGGCAGCTATCACTGAGGCGCAACACTTACACACATCCAGTCAGTGGTGCAGTTTGTCTTCATCAACAGAGAAACCTTGTGGTGCGAGTTGCTGCAGCTGCATTTGATGTCAAGGGCTGTACAAGCTATTATAAATGTTCTGGACTTTTAGATATGACTTTAGACCCTGACGAGGAAAAGGTAGTTTTGCAACTTGACCGGTCCATGGTTTTCCCTCTCAGTGTCAGTGTACACATGGCCCTAGTTTCTGCAGAGCATGTGATGATGACACAAAGGCACTCAAGAGAAGACCAGTAATGGAATGGAATTGAAATTAATCATCCTATGTGGCAAAGAATAAGAAATAGTCGAAAGGGAGATAACATCCTTCTTTGAAGAGAATATCATCATTTTGAACATGCAGTAATAAATTTGTAAAGTTGTTATTTATTATTTCACACTTTTGCGTTCATTTAGATTAACAATAATGTTGGTATTAAAATGGTTACCACTTTCTTATGGAAAGGTATAATCATTGGGAGATTGTGGAGCAAAGCATGAAGTCAGCTGTAATAAGATAATCATGTAGGTAATGATTTGAATATAAAGTGGGTTTAATATATGAAGCCTGGACAAAAAGAAATTGAGCATGGATTCTATTAAGAAATGAGAAATTGCATCTTTGTAATAAAATAGAAATCTTGACTTCCAGTTGTTTTCAGTGAATTGAAAGCATAGGTGCTTTCATATGCCTTTGATGTGGATTTACTTCCTAGAAACCCCTTGAACCTGGTAAGTGGTTTCATTGCTTTTAAACCTGGAGTCATTTGTGGACTTAATCATTAAAAAAAAATTAAACGATTTTTTTTCTTTGCTGAAAAATGGTATCGAGGTAGAGGCCACTTATCTTTCAACAAGTTGTGGTCATATTTTTCACCTATAACATATGAACACAACAGTCTCCTGGAGCCCTTTAACTCAAAGAAGTGATTAACATGTTTTTTCTCCCTATGGTATCCATACATTATCCAACAAACAGGTTATGAGAATACTCAAACTTGTTAGGTACAGGTTGTTACCATAACAAAGCACAGAGATCCTTAGACAACATATCAGTTCGATGGAACACTTCTAACTGCAATCAAAGAGCCTTTCGTCGGAGGGCTAACGCTCGAAACGTCAGCTTTTGTAGTCGTTACGGTGGCCAGTTTACCATTTCAACTTTGTTGATATATCCAAATTATTTCGTTACCCCCACCGACGCAGCCTCAAACAGTTTCTTTAGAAACTATCAGCCTTTATTCAAAGAGCATTAAGGTCGGATTTGTTCGAACTAAGATAAAAATAGTGGACTTATAAAATTGATTGAAATTTAACAAGACTAAAATTAACTGGGACCGCAACGTGACGCGCGGAAACGTAGGATTCCATGTGGTATAAGGTAAGTGTTGTGTCTCGTGGCACGAGGTAACCTGGGGCCCGTTTCTCGAAAGTTCCGGTAACCTAACGGGCCCGTGAAAGCTGTTCTGTTTTCACTCAAGATGGAGATTTCAAAAGTTTTGAAAATGATACAATAAAACTATCAGCTAAAGAAACAAAAGGGACTGGTTTGGGTGTTAGAACCAGTTTTCCTATCTTTTAAATTTTTAATTTTAAAACATAGCTTCGGGTCCGGTAACCAGCGTGTTGAGTTCGGTGGGACTTTCGAGAAACGGGCCCCAGGACCTCTCAGTCATCAACAACAGGTACGTACCTTTTTGAGTCTAATAAGTAAACAAGACTGTCGGTGTTGGTTGTCATTGCGCAAGTGGAATTTTTTCTACAAACTTTTGAAAGTTGTCGAGCTCGTGTGTTAAGCACCACTAATGGGTGGATCTCTTTCGAGAAGTCCAAAGCAGAAGTCCAAGAAAAAAGCTGAAAGGGATGGATCGAGCGATCGACCAAAAAAAAACGCCAAAGCTGTCAAAGATAAAAAGAATGACAAACAGCCGGGGCAGGCTGAAATGACAGGTCAAGCAACTCTCGAGATGGAAAGGAAAGATAGTAAGATATTTTGGATTTCGCATGTGTCGAAGAGAACTAATTCTCGAGACGATATTAAGGCACAGACATTGGTGGACAGCAAAGCAATTTCCAAACCAACAGGGGAGCTAAGTTACCAACAGGGGAAACACAGTAGCAAGCAAAAACTTGTTGTGTCAGGTCCGAAGAAGAAAAGTAAAGGGAAGAGCTCTAATGGTGCGGATTCAAATGGTCACTTGTGTGAAAAGAAAGACAATAGCGGGGTATTGAACGGTTCATGTGCCTTCGGGGAAGAAAAACAAGATCTGGAGGACTCGAATTCCAGTGTAGTCCCGCAATCTCCAGGTCTGCTTCCAGGGCAGACAAGCGGGAGCATTGATGCATCAAATTTTATCTCTGTAAATGAACTGTATAACTATTTCTGGGATGGAGCTCAAAACTATAGCATCTTCGATCCTTCTTATATGCTTCTCGTAGACGCTAGACCTCGATCCGAATACGAACGAGGTCATATAATTTTGGCGCACTGTGCGGCATCTTTGTACAATGACTTGCTCACTTCCTCCACATTTGGGTTTAATTACATGGTCAATGGTGGTGAACAAGCCATTGCGAACAGTCTCAGCGAGTATACTCATTTGATTGTGTATGGGAATACTGTGTCAGACACTAGAAGTGAAGATCTGCCCGAAATAAAACTCATGAGAGAACTGATGAATTATGATTTGGTTGAGCCTTTGTTGTTAGCTTCTGGATTTGACAGTTTCAATCAAGCTTGGCCTTTCATGTGCACAACAAGAGAACTTACCGTCCGGCATCACCATTCAGAAATCACACCGTATCCATCCCTCATTTTGGAAAACCAGCTCTATTTAGGCAAAGGGGTGCAAGCGACCAATGAGAAGATATTGTTGGACCTCAAGCTCACGCATATTGTAAATATTGGTAGCGAACACTCCTCGCCTTTCACTGATCACATTCACTATCTGAACATAAAGCTTGATGATAGTCCTTCTAGCGATTTAAAACTTTATTTTGCAAAGGCATATCACTTCATTGATGATGCCTTGTCAACTGGTGGGTGCATTCTTGTGCATTGCAATCTTGGGGTAAGTCGCAGCTCAACTGTTGTCATTGCATATCTGATGAAGTCAAGAGAATGGAGCCTTAAAATGGCGTATGACTTTGTCAAGGATAGAAGACAATGCATTCAGCCCAATCGTGGATTTTTACAGCAACTTGGTGACTGGGAGCAAAGTGTTTTAGGACGTAAGCATACAAATCCTGATGATTTGTGGTTTTAGTGGCAACAATTTTTTTTATTTTAGGAGACCTAAAGAATATTTTTCAAGGGTATGTTTCCAAGGATGTACACTGACTGCAAAGTTGATATTCTTAAATTGATGTGATATAGCTTGTATAATAGATGTAAAATAGATGTAAAACTAGATAAGATTGATTTGCATACTGTAAAAATAAACTATAAGATGCTTTTTAATAGCAGATAAGATACTTTTTAGCACTGTAACCCTCCAAAAATAGAATATGTAGTAATTATTGCACAAATTTGCTGTCCTTTTTGCTCACTATATTGCTGTATTTATTGTTGGGTCTGTACATTTTTTGTCAAGGAGCTGAAAATGGTGTCTTGGTTTTGTAACAACTGTGGCTGCTTTACTGATCAGCTTATTTAAATATGTTGTGATTTGATTGATGCATTTGGATTTGAAAAATTTTGATATGCATATCGTACCTACTGTTATCACAGAGGTTCCTAATAATTCATGTTACTATAACATTTCAAACTAAAACCAATTTTCAATCACAACATGAAAAGAAACTGCATGTTTGTAAATTTATTTAAAACGAGTTGAGTTGAAGTTGTATTTATTAACTTGATATGTAGAGATCATGATAAAGCAATCGTTTTGATTTCCTCTAATATGGAAACAGATTTGATAATGTATTTACTACTGTTGGTAGGCTTTGTGTGAAGTTATTTTTAAATCTTAGAGTTACAGGGACAGAGAAATAATGGTGTTTCTGTTTTATTTTGTTCATGAATATGTATTACCTTGTCTGAGAATTTCTTTTTTGTGGGTTTGAACAGTGTTTAATTTTTAGGTCTCTGTCTGTTTAAAAGAGAAGTGTGCTCTAGAAACTATATGGGTTGTACCTCTGCCTTCTGATTCATGATCTGGGCTTTATTACCAGTTGCTGTCCAAGAAATAAGCCAAAGAATGGACTAAACAAAAATTATAGCAATAGACCTCTTAACTTGTATGTTTTGTTTACCCTTTTCAGGTTATTTGATAATACTCTCGAGAACTGTTTCTTTCACATTTCCTCTTATAATTTAGCATGCATATGTGACAAAACCCTTCAAAAACTGTTCAAAATTTTGCTCTCATTATTAATCTTACTTTGAGGCTTGTTCACTTACCAAAGACAAAGCAATGTCTTACTGTGTTTTACCGGGTTAGCTCAATTGGTTAGAGCGCTGGACTGTTGTGCGGGAGGTCGAGGTCGATGGTTCGAGCCCTGGCCAGACGAATTAACACTCAAGGTCTTAAAATAACTGAGGAGAATGCGCTACCTTTCTATAATATCGAGAAATGGATAGACATTCTAGTCTTCTCGGATAAGGATGAATAAACCGTAGGTCCCATCTCCTGGATCTAGTAATTAGTTAACTTGGTTAGGCAGGGGACGTTAAAGAACCCACTCACGAGATTACTGTGATGTGGTCTGGCCTGTTTACTGGGAATTGGGGTGAGGGGGCATCTTCAAATAAGTTTCCTTCGATTGTTTGTAAACTGCTGATGCAGTCCGGCCAAAGTCCCCCGAAAAGTGTTGTGATGCGCATTTGATCATATCCACATATTAATTCGTGCAATATAAATATTAAATTATTATTGTTATTGTTGTTACCATCCAGGAAAAAATCAAAAAAGGATTTTTGTATTAAAAAATAGCAACATCTGTCAGTAAACTAGGTGATGTGGTATTGTTTGTTAAGTCAGGTTACAGATTTCTGATGAAAATAGTGGCAGAAATCCATGGTCAAATTTTTAGAAAATTTAGAGATGATTCTGGATATAGTTAATAGCTGTCAAGTAGAGCACTAAATCATTTTGAGGCGTTTGGCGGGGATTGGGTACCAGCAAGTTAAGATCGCCAGGTCTCTAAGCCAAAGATGGCAAACAATTTTACAGGAAGAGCGCGAAATTTTTCTTCATCATTTTGTGTGGGAATTCGGAATCTTTATAAACTTAACGCTAAAAAGTGGAAGGCTCAGACAAGAGAGACTACATACCGATGTATGACAACGATATTAGATCGTAAGTGTTTTTCCCATCAGTTTGAAAATCAATGACCGACGCAGTAGTGCGCCACGTTTGTTACTCAGTGATTTTGTTAAATCTACTCTCTGTCTCATAAACGTAAGTCTGTAGTCTTAAGCACAGCTTTTTTTGAAGAAATTTCCTTTAGAAATTCAACATTTTCGGTAGATGGCAGAAAATTCATTATCAAATTCTTACTAGTTTTAATTTAGTAATCGAATTGTGTTGTTAAATCTTGCGTAATAGGGCCATTCCATTTAATATCCGCACCCCCCCCATTGAAGGCCTGGGATTTCTTAGGGGGAGGGGGGTCAATGCTATATTTTTTCTTAGGGGGGTTGGACCATATTTCTGAGAGGGGTCGCCATAAAGTACCCTTGACAGAAATTCTCATGAGTAGTTTCTGAAGGGGGTTCAATTGGTTTGCTTGATAGCTACATAAAATACTGAAGGGGGTAATTTCAGGCAATTCTGAAGGCGGTTAAAAATTTCTTATCTGGAGGGGTGTTACAGGAAAGCCTTCAATAGGGGGGGTGCGGATTTTAAATGGAATGGCCCGTACAGAGTCTGAACGGTATCCGGTCTTTTCGTCTAAGAGTCTTTTCGTCTAAAGTCTTAGGTCCGTTCATCCAATTTCAACTCTTTTCGTCAAAGTTATAACATTGTTTTAAATGAAGTTGTAATTCGATATATTTCATTAAATAGTGACAGAAAGGAAGGCTTGCCATTGAATTATTTCGCGCGAAAGAAATGGGAATATTAGGCTTGTTGTTAAGCGACTATTAGACGAAATAGACAAGTAAGTGTAACATCACTAAGTGTCCGACATAACCAACAACATAGTCCAACATGATAAAGAAATTATCTAGGCCTTATCTAGCTTTCTAAAGTTATTTATTGCTTCGAGAAAAGACTTAACAATTAGACGAACAGACTAAGAGGAAAAAAGTTTTGGACAAAAAGACTTGGACTAAAAGACTTTTGGACGAAAAGACCATAATTCGTCTGAACTATCTATGGGAATCAATGGTCAGAAAATCTGTCAAAAACTGCGAGGAGAAAGTAAGGGAGAAAGGCAGAGCACAGTGGGTTGTGTTTTAGGAGATAAATTAAGGGATGTGATCACAAAAGACTCTTATCTGAGAGTTAATTAACCACTGACGATTAGATGTTTTTAAAATTATTTCCTCTCAGCATCACTTGGACTTACAGATGATCAAAGGGAATTTCAAAGAGTTGCCCTTGAGTTTGCGAAGAATGAACTTGCACCTGAAATGCAAAAGTGGGATCAGGAGGTTTGGAAAGAAAGGATTCTCATTGTTTAATATGATGCATAGTTTTAGGATTATGGTACATTATCAGATTTATATTCAGTTTTGAACTAAATAATAATTATACACCTTAAGTCAAATAAAATTTCGTTATCATTGTGATGTTATATTTCCCAGGAAACATTTCCGGTGGATGTGTTAAAGAGACTTGCTGGACTGGGATTTGGAGGTAAGAAAACTGTTGACAAGGCTTCTCCAATTTGCAACTGATATCATAATGATAAGCAAGGCAGCAGGTGGTAAATTTCCCTGTTTTATCTTGTTATTTATGATTGGACAGTGTCTGTTACATGTGATCCAAAATACTGACTAATCAAAAGTTCAAACAAATGACATGGCAAAACTGAGGAAACAGCTTGATTTGCTTTTTTTTGAAATTGTTATCCAAAATAGAAAGTGTGATTTTAAACTCTGGTCCTAGCCTTATTACCTTCCATGAGTGACCAGGACAGAATTTTTCCTTACAATATCAATACAATATCAAGCAGACAAGTAATGAGAATAAAGAAAAATATCAGTAAGGATATTATTAGTTGATCTAATAGCAAATTCTCTAAACTAACATCATGGGATTTGAATGGCAAGCAGTAAGGAGAATCACTAATAAGATCTCATGAGTGAAATGGTTAATTCAGTTCATTTTGTAGTCTTTGACCACTAAGTAGAAACTGTGATTACCAAATTTAATGATGGATGTTATCATAATTAGTTGTTTAAGTTTTTAATGAACACTGAAGGGGATAGGTTGCTTCTCACCCTTTGAAATAAAAAAGAAAAAAATTGCTATAATTACTTGTACTTTCTTTAAATGTGGGATTCTTTTGTACGAGTTTTGAAATTGGAAAAATGCAAAACTTGCCTAAAATGGTTGTGAATGTGATCAGAACCTACTCAATTTTGTCCAATTCATAATTAAGGTACCAATATTTATTAGTTACACATCTCTCCATGTTGTGTTTTAAGGAACTTTGGAACCCTTTTGATTTGTAATTTTCTTCTCAGCCATTTATGCAAAGGAAGATCATGGGGGTAGTGGACTGTCCAGATTAGAAGCATCTGTAATATTTGAGGCTCTTTCCACTGGATGTGTTAGCACAACAGCCTATCTCAGCATCCACAAGTGAGATTATTGGAATTCTTCCAAAGCATATTTTGGTGTATTATCCCTAAAATCACTAACAGTTCATGAAACATAATGACATTTTTTTTCTACCCAGTATGGTTGCTTGGATGATTGATGAATTTGGTTCAGAAGAACTGAGAGAAAAATTTGTCCCTGAATTAGCTTCCATGCTTTTTTTTTAGGGTCTTTTTTTTTCCTTTGATTTTTTTTTAGATTATTTCTTTCAGTCTTATTTGACCTTTTGAAAGGGGCCTAATTGTTTTCGTAGTAATCATCAATAAATAAAAAGTGAACCAGTGCATCAGAGTCAGGGAGTTCAATGTAAACAAGATTGCAAGTTTTTTTAAGAATGTGACCATTTATTCTGATACTTTACCATTACCTGGTGAGATTTTTTTTTTTTTGCACCTTTTTGCATACATTGATGGGTGCCATATTTGGCAAAGCTTGTTAAAATTCAAGGTGTTATGGAAGCAGAGCAGTTAAATGGTTTATTTCAGTCTGTGGTTAGTCAGTATAACTCTGTTCAAGGTTGTTGAAGAGTCAGTGTGTACTGGGCTGAGATGCGTGTGGTAAGGATGAGAAAATAGGCAGTCAGCTTAAGGTCAGAGAGCATGGGCAACTGTGAGCAATTTCTCAAAATATTGTTCTTCATCTGTTGTTTTGGCTGTACCATCTGTGTGAAATATGGACATTGAAATCAATTGAAAATGCAGGTTACAGTTACCTGTATGACAAGGCTGTCCTCTTGTGCATAACCTAAGTTTTTTTATGACTGTTTCTACTTGTTTTCAGAAATTTGGATCTTATTGCTTAACAGAACCTGGTTAGTATTCTCTCAGAACAAATTCAAGTTTTTAAGTTTTTATTATATTTAAGTTTTTATTGTATTGTATTGTATTGTATTATCATCAGCCAATTTGACAAAGTTCATTTCGACCTAGATTATGGTTAACAAACCAGAACTTTTCTAATTAAACGAACTGAAAACAGAGAGCGTTTTTTTTAATGTTACTTATAAAAAGATGGCTTGAATTGTTTTTATTTGCTAGTTGTTTTGAAATTAACTCTTTACACCCTAGCATCATTATGGATATTCCCCACACTTTTCTCTGTATATTTCCTGTGGTACTAACAAGGAGAATTGTCAAACAATCAAGAGCTTTTTTAGGTAGTGACCATTTCCCTTATTCTTTAGGCCTTATGTTTGATTCGGAAGTGAAATTGTAACAAGAAAATAGATGCTTGTCCCTGCATGGGGTTAAAGAATTAGAGAATAATTGATCATTGTTTAAAGAGTACCCACCCTTGTGGAAAAATGTTTGACTTTATATCAACTTAAGTAGTTAATAAAACCAATTATCATATGACCTGTCTGGCCCCACGTGCACAATTCCATAGAAAACCATGGTGAAAGCTGACATGTACAGGGCTGGACAGGTTGATGTGAGCTGGTTTGGAAAAAGCCATCTGGCCCTGCTGCCCTCACGTTGCTTTGTTACAAAAACTTGAAGTAAAACAGAAATGAGAGAAAAAGGCATGTTTTTCAAGGAGTTGGGATTTTCTTGTTCTGACTTGAAAAAATACAGAAAATTTTTAAATGCAAAATTTTTTTTGTGCTTGTGAGGCTGCAATTGCCAGTCTATTGCATCCTATTTAGGTTGAAATTTTCAACACTTGCTGGTTATATGATAAAATGCTTATTGGCTGAGTTTGGTTGGGCTGGAGGGAAAATATTTGGCTTGAGATCATGAGGCATGGACCTTGCTCGGCTCAGTTTGTACGTCATGAACTCGAGCCAAACAGTTTCCCATCTGGCCTGACCACTCAGTCAATAAGTATGTATTACATATTGGAATTTAGTCTAAATTGTGTTGATATGATTTTTCATTCTTAATTTCCATGACAGGAAGTGGAAGTGATGCTGCCTCATTATCAACAACTGCCAAAAGAGATGGAGACCACTACATTCTGAATGGGTCAAAGGTAATTGTAAAGATGCAAATTAACACAGTTGATTTTGACATATAAACTAGGAAAGCACATTCTGGTTGTGTGCAATTAGTAAAATAGAGATCAACTTACAATTTAAGCCTTAAAGATTACTGGCTTCTTCTTTCTCCTAACAGTATTGCCCTTGAATCAAATGTGAAAGGTTTGAGAGAATAAAGGACTTGATCACCAATTTAAGAAGCTCTTGATTGTCACCCATATTCTCCTTGTCGTTACCGTAGATAATGAAAATGAAAAGAGAACAGTGCAAAGATTATAGATGCTATTGCTAGGGTGTAAAGGGTTTTAATTTGTAATCACAAATGGGTAATTAGAAGAAGGGAAAGTATGACAAAAAGTCACTGAGAACTCTGAAAGCAAGACCCAGCAAATTGTCTCAGGGGCAATTGAATGTTAGAGGCCAAAGGAAGGTGCTTTTGGTTTTGGTTTGTTTTTGATGGGTTGAATGAGTGGTATGAAACAGATGGCTTTCAATGCTTACTGGAAATTAAACTGCTCTAGATGTGAATGTTTGATTATTAATTGGTTTCTCTCAATTAAGCTTGAAATTAGTCCTGATATCTCCAAATAAGATGCCAAATTCGAATTAGCACTTGGTATCTGGCTTGTGTGGTTTTTGCTCAAACCTCCAACTTTTTGTGAAGTGAGAATTAAAAGTCCACTTGGGTCAGCCAAAATCAAATTTGAATCAGACTTAAATTTTCATCCAAAAATTTAAAAAACTTGGTGATAGAAGGTAATTGTGGCATGTAAAACAAATTAATACCAATAGATGCATCATATTTGGCACATGAAAAGTCAAATGTTAAAATCAAAATTGTTCCACAGTTATAAAACTATGTATAAACCACTCAAACTTAATTCTTTGGTGGACTCAAATTAGATATGTCATTCTAAATTGACTCAAATGTCAGGCGATTTGCTCATCAAGCTTTACATGTTGTAGATGTACATGTATTAAAAATTTTTTTTTCTGAACTGTACCTTTCTGTCTCAATATGACCCTGTGGCTACATTGTTTATGTCATCTCAGGCATTCATCAGTGGTGGAGGGGACACTGATGTCTACATAGTCATGGTCAGAACTGGAGAACAAGGTGTGTGACTCAGAGATAGCTTTAGTTAACCCAGCCTTGAACTGTCAAGATCTGATTGTCAATTCTCCCCTCCAGCTGCTACACATTTCCTTGTAAATTAATAGGGACCTTAAGCAGTCAGGACGGCAACGCCAAGGAAGACTTCGATTAAAAAATGAATTTCTACTCTTAGTTAGAATTTTAAAAATGGCTGTATGAGCTTACTGTCTCATATGACGCCACAGCTCAACTTCAGCATGACATATAAAAGCAGCGTTNTTTAATAGTGGAGCATTATTAAATTTATAATCGGCTATAAATATCTTTAATAAGTCTATTACATATCAATTGATTTCCTACTAGTTTTGTTGTTTTAGCTTAATAAAAACCATTGATAAACTTTGATAAACATACTTTCCTCTCCTTTTTGCCAAAACCCAGTCCGGGTGTTCCTTTCTCAACAATGAGAGATGAAATTCCTTTAGGTCCTGCAAAATTGACCACAATTTTCCAAAATGTAAATACAAGTTTTAAGTTATGATCATTATGATCATTAAGAGCTATGTAAAACTACAAAAAAAATTAAAATGAATAAAGGCTGATAGTTTCTAAAGAAACTGTTTGGGGCTGCGTCAGTGGGGGGTAACGAAATAATTTGAGTATATCAACAAAGTTGAAATGGTAAATTGGCCACCGTTACGATTATAAAAGCTGACGTTTCGAGCGTTAACCCTTCCTTGGAGTGAATAGAGGAATTGTGGGTTGTGTATGCTTTTAGAGACAGAAAAAGGAGCTACGTGATTGGTGGGATCATGGCAACGAGAAAGACACACTGTATTCACTCTGACGAAGGGCTAACGCTCGAAACGTCAGCTTTTATAATCGTAACGGTGGCCAATTTACCATTTCAACTTTGTTGATATACTCAAATTATTTCGTTACCCCCCACTGACGCAGCCCCAAACAGTTTCTTTAGAAACTATCAGCCTTTATTCATTTTAATTTTTTTTGTAGTTTTACATAGCTCTTAATGATCATAATGATCATAACTTAAAACTTGTATTTACATTTTGGAAAATTGTGGTCAATTTTGCAGGACCTAAAGGCATTTCATCTCTCATTGTTGAGAAAGGAACACCCGGACTGGGTTTTGGCAAAAAGGAGAGGAAAGTATGTTTATCAAAGTTTATCAATGGTTTTTATTAAGCTAAAACAACAAAACTAGTAGGAAATCAATTGATATGTAATAGACTTATTAAAGATATTTATAGCCGATTATAAATTTAATAATGCTCCACTATTAAAAAAAACTAACATTTCAAAGGTAAATCTGAATGAATGTGATTGAAATTATTAAAAAAAAATTAAAATTTTACATTACCGACTAAACTTTTATGATTATTGATATAATTAAATTATACTGCATTTGGTTTAAGTAGTTATCATGGTTGTCAGTAGGTACTGTTTTTTAGTTCAAAGTAATTGTTTTAGGTTGGATGGAATTCTCAGCCAACAAGAGCAGTGATCTTTGAGGACTGTAGAGTTCCAGTTTCTAATAGAGTTGGATATGAAGGACAGGTTGTATAGAGAAATCATTTTAAATTTGTAGATTGATCCCTTGCTTTATGCCAGCAAATTTGGTTTAGAAATACATTAAAGAACTACAGATATAAAATATAACCACAATTTACTTGAATGTCAAATCATGTGTCCTTTTATTTTAAATTTTGTCAGTTAGTGCAAACCACTCAATGTATATCTTGATATTTACAACATAGGGATTTAGTATAGCCATGCAGGGATTGAATGGTGGTCGTATTAATATTGGTTAGTATCATTCATAACAGTTAGTGGAGTGATGACTAGCAAGATTCATGTTAAATAATATATGTTATATTAAGTAGTGACTCCATCCATACCTTAAACAATCAAAGGGTTCTATCACGATACATTAGAAAAGGGAAATTCCTGGTAGATGACCACCTCTAAATTTATGGCTGTAAGGAGTAGCCTTGTATTTGTTGAATTACTGCCGTACATACCTTAATGTAACAATTGAAATTGACTTATTCACAGTAAAAATGGACTATTCAGTTCAAATTAAAGTAAACTTTGGAATCCTTGGACCAGGATTTTTATAAATGTCCACCGATATTTCCAATCTATTTCTTTAAATTTTATTTTAACTGTACTTATTTCCAATAATTGTATCTTTAATGTAATTTTATAGTCAAAGACAGTTTTAAGCTAGTGCCGTGATAGTGTAGTATGTCGTTTTTATTCCTGATTGGTGAGTGATTAGAATTTAATATTTTCAAGTAAAGTTTATGAGTTGATAGGTAAAAAAAGATTTTTTTTTTTAGCATCATGCTCACTAGGAGCAGCTCAAGCATCCATTGAACAGGCAGCTGAACATGCTAAAGTGCGGATACAGTTTGACAGACCACTTGCTGATAATCAGGTACAAAGAATTGAGTTTACTTCAATCTTTTCATCTTATGTAATTTAATTACTCTTCTCTCTTTAATCTTTGGTTAGTAATTTTTCACTACAAATCAAACAGAATCTTATCATTATGATAATTCTTGCTTATAAAATTACAGCAAACATCCTTATATACAGTCAAATAGATAACCATTTCCAGTTGGAAAGATGGGAATGTCAAATGAACAAGTCATATAATTTTTATCTAGAATATCCAGTTCAAATTAGCTGACATGGCAACCTCCCTAGTGACTTCACGGTTAATTGTGCGTCAGGCTGCTTGTGCTTTGGATACCAAGTCACTAGAGGCCTCCACACTGTGTTCCATGGCAAAATTATTTGCTACAGATCATTGCTTTCAGGTGTGTATCATAGCCATTGTTAATGTGTGGCTATTCATTCACTAAATAAAATTTACAAACCTTTTTCATTTCAACTGATGTTCTTTTTTTTCTTTTTTTGTTTATTTATTTGTTTATTTTTCCAGATTTGTAATGAAGCCCTCCAGATTCATGGAGGGTATGGTTACCTTAAGGATTATCCTGTCCAACAGTACATGAGGGACTGTAGAGTTCATCAGATTCTGGAAGGTAGGTCAAAGCGTGCAAGGCAAAAGCTAGTGCATGTGAGTGCAATAAAAACATGATGGGACGCAAATCGTCTGCACTGGAAGTACATATCAAACTCCCTAGGCGATTTAATCCCATCAAATATGTGGTTTTTATGTCAGCATTTGCATAGTTAATATCGTTAGCACCCCTTTCGGTTGGATCTGGACAATGTTTGTTTTTGGATCTGGACAATGTTCGGTTTTTTTTTCCCAGATTGCTTTGTAGTACATGTAGTTTTCTTAGTTATTTTCCCCAAAAATGGCGCAGAGGAAAGGTTTTTTGACCTTCACTCGCATCATCAGTGATGCATTAAGCAAGCATAGTTACTGGTATGTGCTCACAACAGAAGTTTGTGGAATTACTCCTCTGCAATATTTTAAGCGATCGCTGATCGTGACAAGGCAGAACTTCAGTATTAGCGAGCAAAGCCAGATTACCTGCTTTCTTCTGCTGTCGCTTTTGTTTTCTCCATTCTCTAGTTTGTTTTCGTTTCTCCTCGGGAGTATTTTTTCGCGATTTTACCTCCCGTTTATTTGGTATTTCCAGCTTGGTGGAGGCCTCAAGGTCCGCCGACATTTTATTAATGTATTCCCAAGCAAGAAGAGTGAATTAGTTGAACACGTGCTCTTGCATCCGATCTCATAATTTACAAAAACTTCATTGTTCTCGCGAAAAATGAGAGCCGTCTTATTGAAACTTGATGGCAATTATCTGTCACATTGATGTCAGCAGCAACGAGATTATGACGCCTTACAGGAAACCTGCCTGGAGCGTTCAAAAAGTCCCNATTTTTTTGGGCAACCATGCCGCTGGACACCCTGTTAAACAATCATGTCTCTCCAGTCCTAAATATTACATTAAAATATTTTGAATTTAAATTTGCGCTTGTAATTTGTTGCAGTCTTGGGTTCCAAAAACGTCAGTGTTTAAAAACTCAAATGTAGCAATGATTTCTCCCATTTCCTCGGGGTATTTTAGGGTGTACAGTCAACTCTCTCTTAACAGACACCTCTGTAAGATGAACACCTCTATAAGACGGACAGCTGGTGCTGGTCCCAGCCCTTTCTTAGTCATTTTACTATAACCAAACTCTCTGTAAGACGGACACCTTTATAAGATGGACAACGGACACTTTGAAATCTTCAACGGACATTTGTGAGGTGCTGAATGTGACCACAAATTACGATGTAGGGAAGAAAACTTCTTAAATTACCAAGTACCCGAGACTCCTTTTAACACCAGACATTTAAATGACAGCTCTTATCTTGTCGGCGGAACACATGCAGTACAAGTTAAAATTAAATCAGTCATCGTCTCATTGAAAAAATAACTTGGCGATGACAACCAACTGGTATTGTAATCTAAAACAGTTATTTTCGTGCTTTCTTTGCTGAACTACAGCTTTCCACACTGTTATTCCCTTGCTGCCTCCTCTTACTGCCGGTTTTTTTCTTTCTTGATTCCTGGCCAAAGCGTCCTCAACTATCTTTCTTTCTTTTGCAATGCGTTCACTTAGCCATTTCACAGCTAGCGAGTTCCCTTTAAATGAATACTGGCAAGGCACTTGTAGACCATATCCACCACCTTGATTTACTCTCTTACCAGTCAGCATGCATTGTTACAGTACTCGAGCTGATTTCCAAAAACTGGTTTACACAGTGTGAATAGGACAGCGGCACATGGCCGACCACTTTTACAAATATGTTTTTTGTTCCAGTTTGTAGAATTTGTTCAAGTAAATAACTTTAACAAAGTTTAAACAGATGCGTATTCACTGTGCACAGGTTCAGCATTATTATCTTAAAATTCCTGGGGTCATGTTATGTCGACTCTCTATATGCCGGACACCTCTCTAAGACGGACACCTCTCTAAGACAGACAGCTGAGGCCAGTCCCGATGGTGTCTGTCTCGGAGAGAGTTGATTGTACTTTTTAAAATAAATGGATCCCATTCAAAAAACTCTATATTTATTAGGAATTAAATCTCAAGCTATGTGTGCATTTAAGTATATCTTCATAACTATCAAAATTACAGTATCTACTTATCTGTATGAACATGTCTTTTGACGGGTAGTTCAGCTGTAATCAATGATCTCTATTGTGTGTGCGTGAAAAGCTGCCTGAGCCAGGTTCTGGCTTTGTGGAAACAAGCAAAAAGTGGGGACTCAAAGAAAAAACCGTACCCCTGACAAATGCAACTTTGGCTTGTTTCTCCCCCCTTTTTCGCATGTCCCACTGAATTATAGCTTGAAATAGGCATTGTGGAAAGTATCAGGGACAACTCAAGGTTGACAGTAAAGGGCTGTGCTAAAGGTCACCAATAAACTGGTTTTTTCTCTCTCTGTACTTGTATCTTTAATTACCTAGAGGGAGAGGGGTCATCACAGATTGGAAGAGGGGGAATCTCAAAACCCAAACATTTTGAAAGAAATAATCGATTTACAAAACAAAAAAAACTTCTGCAGTGTAGACAACCCATTACCAATCCAATTATTTCTTTCATTTTTATTTATTCCAAATGAAAATGGCAAGTGAAGTGCATTAATTCGCTGAACCTAGTTTAGGCTTATCTTCCTAAGGATTGATTATAGCTTTAGAAGTGGACCATATGTTAGGAAATGAGATGGTTCAGGCTTGAATACTCATCAGGGTTCAAAGAATTTTCAATAATTAAACCAAGCTCATAACAAGAGGAAGTCAAATGTCTCTTTGAGGTACTTGTTTCTTTTGTCCATGTTGACATCAAGCTACTTCCATAACCTGAAAGGTGTTAATAGATGGTTTTGAATTTTATGCAGTTGAGTACTGACCATCCATAGAGATGCAAGGAAAACTCTGGTTCTAAAGGTTTGCTGACAGTGATTTAGATTTATTTAGCTTTGCCAACCAGCAGGGACACCGCAACAGCTTGCGCCAATTACTGTGGGCCCGATAAACCCACCCATCCCACCCCAGGGGAGGACATTCATCACACAGTAATCTTTGTGTGTGGAAAATTAATGTCTCCTACCCCAACCCTGCAGGAGACGGGACCTCCATTAATTTTATTTGTCCCTATCCGAGAAGACTAGAATATTTGACCATTTCTTGATGTTATAGAAAGGCAGCGAATTCTTCTCAATTACTTTAAGACCCTGAGTGTTGGTCCGGCCGGGGCTCGAGCCCTCGACCTCCCGCACAACAGTCCAGTGCTCTATCCATTGAGCTAACCAGGAGGCGGTTAATCTTTGAGGAAGCTTTCTTTCTCTTTAATTGGGGCTAGGATAGGACTTATTGGATTCTTGTATGATCAATAACTTAAGAAGGCTGTCAGTTAAAGTGACAAGAGTGTTTTTCACCACAGACAGTGTGC